GCATTTGTATTTTTGTTGTCAGTAAGTGTGTTTCCATCAAGGCTTTTTGATGCGCATTTAGAAGTGTCGCATTAAAAATGAGAAAAAAAGTCGGATGGAAACAGCAAAATTTTAAAAAAAATTCCTCAATTCGCTAAAAGGTTTTTACGCTCGCTTGAGGTGGTTTTTGGGTTTTTCAAAAAACACTTAATGCGCAAAAGGAGAGATGGAAACACTTTTGCCGAATAAGTTGTGACGTAGCGAACATTTACTTCACGTAGCTGATCAGCTGTTCCACGGTACCGGTACCAGTTTTGGGTCCGCTGCAGCTGCGAATGTCGGCGTCTTCTCAGTAATCCTGTAACGTGAAGAAAATTGCATTTCTTTCTCTACGTCTCCAGACAGCAGTAACATCTCCAAAACTAGTTGACAACAGAATAATTACAACTTTCCTGATAGTAGCAACGTGTTCCTGATAACTTCTCTCCATTACGCTGAGATGTGTGGACCCTGCGAGTTTAGCGATGGTTACTTCCTGTTTACTACGCACATGCGTATGACGTAATTGATTCGCTTCAAGGCAGTTGATGGAAACTCCATTTGATTTGCATTTCTTAATTTTTTCCTTTTTGCAAAATTATTAAAATTAGCTCAAAATTCAAATTAAAATTGGATGTAATTGGATGGAAACACGATTACTGAGTTGATCGAGCTAGTGGATTGTTGAGGTGATTCTAGTGCTGGTTTTATAAAACGGATTCCAGACTTGGAAATTATTATCCTCACTTTTCTTCTTGTGTCAGATGCTGTTGGAATGTTGGGTTTAGTTAAAACAGGTGAGAAATGAATGGAGGATGGGGACAAGCTTCGTGCCCCTATTCCTAGCTCCAGTGCTGTGGAGCAAATTAAACCTGTATGGCTTCCTCTGGCACTGGATTTAGATTCTCAGAGCAACTCATGAGGCAGGACAGGGTGGGGGGATGAGAATAACATTTAATCTTCTTTGTAATTAAACGTAAGCGCTGAGAAAATATTTTTTCCTCGTGTTTCCTGACAAACCTTGTGTACACTTACACTTTCACTTACAGTCCCACTCACAAATATTTCAGTGACAAACATTAGTCTAGAGCCCTCTGTGAGAAAGAGTCCTTTGCTAAAGTTAGATTAAATACTATTTCGAGTTAAATCATTGAACAAGTTAGAAAAAAAGTGGTTTGATGTTCTCAATAAGACTATTAAAGGAACAGGAATATTGTGGGTAAAATGGGAATGCGTTATATTACCTATTGTAAAAAAAAAACAATGTACACCTATTGTTTTAAGTAAAAGAAAAGCACCTGAATAATGGCCTAACTTTAAGGCTATGTCCAGAACATGACCACCGTCTCGAATGCTGCCATTTTGGATCAAAACAAAAGAGCGTCCTGCGACTTTTGTCTCACCCTGTACTTGGGTTGTAGCTGAATTCAGACTAGTCATTTACTCATCAGTCCTGTCAAACATAAACTCTGTTCCTCCAAACTGAGTTGTTTAAGAAGCTATGAAAAAAAAATCACAAAAATCTGTTTCTTTTAAAGTCCAGTTTTCCTTCACCTCATTTTGACATATGGGCCATTTATTGATTTCAGACCTCTTACATGCAGATTTTATGTTTATGTTTTTTTAATCCACAGAGAACATTTTTTAAAGACGTGGACATGATCTGAAATTAATCCACTGAATGATGGGGGTTGACCTTGTAAACTCCTCCAGCTTGCAGCCAAGTAAAGTTTCACTACTGCCTATAGCTTGCCAGTCTAATGAGGGTTTGTAGAGAGTTGCAAGTCCTATCTGCGGGGCCTTGTTGTGAAATTAAAGGTCATTCTCACTGGATGAGCAACCCTGATACCTCCTATCTCTCGTCTCACTGGCCAATGGGGAAATCAAACACTATTAGACAAGAGCAGCGTCCTTTATCACCACGGCCATTATCATCTGAATCATCACCCAGGCCAAGGAGCATCATTTAGCCCACCCATTTAGCGTCTCACCAGCCATGTGTCATACATATCCACGAGTGACAACGTGTCCGGCAATATTTGGTGCTGTGGGGGATTATTCAGAATGGAAAGCAATTAGTGGGCCAGAAAAGGTTGAAGATTCACAGGCGGGGCGTGTACAGTGGTAGAACAAGGCAAAAGGGAAATAGAAGTTGGAACGGTGAATTACTTATTAATGCCACTAATGAGGGCAATGCAGAGGGCTTTGGAGGGATCTAGATAATGTACCTGCTGCTGTATAATGGAAGTAAATGGTCTTTACAGGAGTACATCCAGAAATGCATCAGCAAGCTCTGTGTTGGGCAAAGAAGACTCAAATTGTGAAAGTCAGAGATTAACAAGTAAAAACTTAAATTTTTTTCAAAAAAGTAAAAGGGACAAAAGAAAACCTTCTGCTGAGCTAGAAATCTGAAACAGGTGAGTCAAAGACAATCAAACTGCATATCACACGCTGCATTTCATAGTAGAAACTTAAACCACAAATTAATCAATGTCAAACTTTAGCAATGTCTTTGACAGATTTGGCCATGTTTGTGTTGGCTAAGGTCGATTAGCAATGGCAGCCGCCTTTTTCAATCTTTGTCTCATCAGACCAGAGAAATTGGTTTCTCATGGCTGGAGAGTCTTTCAGGTGACCTTTACAAAGGAGTGGCTTCCGTCTGGTCCTTCTACCATACAGGCCTCATTGGTGGATTGCCACAAAAATGTTTTTCCTTCTGGAAAGTTTGTCTCTTTCCACAGAGGAGTGCTGGAGCTCTGACAGAGTGACTATCGAGTTCTTGGTCACCTCCCTGACTAAGGCTCTCCTCCCATCATTGCTCCAACTCTTGGAAAAGTCTAGGTCAGAGGAGCCCAAAGTGGGGCCCGCGGGCCAAATTTGGCCCGCCAAGCCATTTGATTTGGCCCACCAGCAGTTGACATAGACTTTGATACATTAAGATTAAATATAAAATGTGAAATACAAGCAAAAAGTGACATTTAGATTAGATTTAACCCCACATGTAGATTTGCACACTTTATAAGGCCAGCAAAACTCATATTTTATCAATTTATAAAATTTCCCATGAACCTTTGCTACTTGAGGATATGGCAAACTTTCTCCAAGTACCCAGACTAAAACAAAAGCAGGCCACCACACTGGCTGCTAGCTTAATAGTTACAAAATAAAGGACTTTACTAAAAAAGTATTTGTATTTCATGTATTATATCATTGCATTTGGCCCGCAGCCCCAGATAGATTCTCATTTTGGCCCTCTTGGGGAAAATGTTTGGGCGCCCCTGGTCTAGGTGGTTCCAAGCTTCTTCTATTTACAGATGATGGTCACAGTGCTCATTGAGACCTTGAATACAGCAAAAAAATAAATAAAATTCTGTACCCTTCACTAGATTTGTGCCTTAATACAATCCTGTCTCGAACGTCTACAAACAATGCCATTGACTTCATTCTTGGTTTATGCTCTGACATGCACTTTCAACTGTATCCCGTTTGACAAGTCATGACGTGGTACAGCCGTACGTCACTACAATGATCCTTTCAAAATTTAACAACACTTTAAAATAAACAGATCTGCAAGATTGGCTCCTTCTAAACCACTTCTCAAACTCAAGGCCCCATGGCGCGAAAATTATTACCCCAAAGGTAATAATTTAAATGTATAATGTGAAATTTACAGTTTCTTTTTTGGTCACTGTAATTAGTGCATTCCTTTCATGGCAGCTGGCCAATTTTCAAGCCAAAAAAAAAAAAAATCAAGTTTGAATTTTTCAGTAGTCTTTGATTTTGTTGTGGAAAAAAGCAACAGATAATTCACTTTCATTTTCTTTTTCTGTATCCTTTCCTTATTTTGAAGTCAAATAATTAGATTGTTATACTGCAAAACGTATCTTTAAGATACAATAAATTCAAAAATTGTTAATAGAGAATGATGTCTTTCTAAATGTAACCTTTTTCTTTATCCGATAGGTAACGCACTTTTAAAAGCTACATAAAACATGATTTGGAAAAGATCATTTATATTTATATAAGAATTTTTTTAAAATTTAATCAGGAATACTTCTGTATAGAGCAAGATTATAATTAATAAACATCTGGAGTTCTGAGGCAGGAAGACAAAACAACAAATCACAATACAACATATCAAGCAAAACACAGACACATGTTCAGACAATAATTCACAAATTTGATGTGATTCTGATGAGGGTCGCAGGAGCGAGCTTCCAGCATGTAAGGATTACATCTGGGTGACGCTTCAGACGGTGAGGTGAGGAAGACCCGAAATTTGGCTGATTGTTTTTTTCCCTGCCACTTCAGAGATGCAGTTAAGACATTTTAAAAGCAGCAGGAAATTCAAGGCTGCTTTGTTCCAAAACAATTGGATTTATCTATTGGCTCCCAGCAGCACGGACTTGATGGCAGTGTTTATCTGAATCTCCCCAGGACGGAAGGTCAACAAAGGCTTAATTCCTTCCCACCCCCATCACCCGTGTTGGACCTGACCCCGGAACCCAGTGGCTGAGGAGGAGGGAACTCTGAACTCTGGCGAACTGAGCAGAGACAATAACATAATGTGACTCTGGACTCTGGAGGGGGCCAGGGTTTGGCCCTAGCACCGACCCCCATCCCTCAACGTCACCTACTCCTCTAAACCTGCCCCATCTTACCTCCCCTTTGTGTTATCTGACCTGAGCCTTCACCCCAAGCTGACTTGCTCTCTCGCAAGTACTTAAAACTCAGTTTTCCTTTTGTGTATTTCTGCTGCATGAGTGGTTCACCTGTTCTCCCATGTTTGTCATGTGTATCTTCTTGAATGGGTGTTCTTAACTGACCCCCTTCCCTGATTGTACAGCACCTTTGATTGTGAATATATTTCTGTGAATATTTTTCTATGAAAGGCGCTATATAAATAAAACTTTACTTATGTTAACGTTATGACTAGAGAAGTACCCAAGTTCAGGCAAAATCAGACGACTCAGAGACCAGGATGAAAAGGTTAAGTGATTTTTATTTACAGTGAAGTTTGAGAATGGGCTCATCCTGAAAAGAGGAAATGAAAGTATTAGTTTAACCTTTCGCAAGAGTCTTGATGAATATAATTTGAATGTGATGATATTGTTTCTTACAGGCTTTGAGAAGGTGGCAGCATCGGAGGAGGAGGCAGAGGAAATCCACGAGGCAAGTGTCTTGCAAGTTCCAAGGGTTGTTTGTTTGTCTTCCAGGTCCAGAGAGAGAGAGAGTGGCAGGACGGAGGATGTTGGTCATCAGGTGAGGGTTACCAGTAAGGAGGGTCCAAATCCAAAAAGGGTCCTTAAGCTCCAGCAAAAGGTGAGTTCAGTTCCACAGATAGTCCTTGGGAAAATACACAGAGATACTAGGGTTACTCAAAGAGATAATAGAGAACTAAAGGAGAGCTGTCTTACTCAGTACCAGGGTCACTGAATAATCCGGCGAGGAATGGACTACTTCCAGGAGATCAAGTAGCAGCTGCCCTCATCAGCAGAATCCAAGACAGGTGAGTAGATTGCAGACTCCGCCCATGCCACTCTGACTCTGGAAGGTAAATGAGCACACACCAACTACAAACAAAACACACTCCAACAACTTACCTACAAACTGACATTACAACAATGAAAAGAAATTGTTATATAACATTTCTTTCTTCACTAAATGTGAACTGTATTTGGCCATTGGCTTGGACAAAATTTTGAACTTTGGCCCTCTAGTGTAAATGAGTTTGACACCCCTGATCCAATATTTTCAAGATTTGTTTACCAAAACATATGATGGTTAAATTATTATTACCAAAAAGAAGAGAACAAAATAAAAATCATTAAAATATTGAAGTTTTTTCTTGTGGATTTGTTCCTAGAATCTAACTGTAATAATAATGAATATAAAAGTTCAGGTGGCTTTATTTTTTCATTTATGTTGTTTCTTTAAGTGATGATTGGAAGCCTCAGAGAGCAGAGTTAACTTAACAGCAAGGAGCTTTTCTCCAGTTCAAGTGCATCTCACAGAACTTTTAAAGGGTATTCTTTCCCTTATTTAAAAAGAGGAGCTTTGCCAAAGAGTTTGATGACATATCTTCCCTTTTTTTCCTTCTTCTTCTCCCAATCAGTGACAGACACCCCCCCACCTCCCCACATTCCCTCACAGCATGTCTGGAGCTAATTAGTTTTGCACACATATTACCCACAAGGTTTGCAAGTCTCTGCTTCCCACCAAGCAAGAGTTGAGAAAAGATTAAACAATGATGAATAAATCTTTATATATGTTGGGGACGGAAATGAGAGGAAGATAAAAACACTGTGGCATTTAGCGCTTAATGATTTGAAGTACATTGGGTCATCATTTTTTTTTTTTTTTTTTGGTGAGGGGGATAATTTGATGTAGATATCCATATCTTTTACCATCACTTCGTTAAAAATGAAACATTTTTAGAATCTGTATATTTGAATGATTTTTTAATAGCTGTTTGTGTTTAACATCAGGATTTTGTTACCCTTTTTGATCTTTATTTTTTTGTTTCCTGTATTTTGTTATGTTGCTATTTACTTCTGTTACTTTGTTGTTGTTTATCTGATCAGTCTGTGTCATGAGTTCAGTATTCATCTGCATAGATCCTTTGCCCACATATTACCATGCCCACTCACACCTGTTTTGTCATCACTGCAGGTTTTTATTCTTCTGTTCCCTCCTTGTCAGTATGGCATTAATGGTCTTTGGTTCATATTTGGTGAACCTGTTTAGTCATCTCCATTCCTGTTTTCTGCTATTGAATCAATCCTATGTTTAGGTTCTGTATGGTGTGCTGCCACAATAGCATTTAGTTTTCTTTCATAATAAAATCAGTTTCATTTGAGTTCCTGGCCTTTTGGGTCCATCCAAAACTTGACAGAAATATATGGAGAAATATTTGTCTCATAATAACACTAGTGCCAATTACTGCAAAGAATGACAGCCCTTTGGTGGTCTAGATGTGGTATGCCAGAGGTGGTCCATGAATGAGCCAACGCTGCATAAACCAAACCACAACTGGGTCATTTGTGGCATGCACACATCTGTCTGCTATGTGGATACAAATGTATACAACAATTAGTTAGTATAGATCTTGAGTCATTCAGGACATGTTAAATCCGAATTTAAAAAATGAACTTGTGTTTTTCAGTTAAAGATGTTTTGATCCCATCTGGGGAGCTTTCTCAGTTACAAACTGGAGTGTGGAGTTCCACACTTTTTAAACTGATTGTAAAACTCAGTTTTGTAACCTAAATTCACATTCACATGCAGATTAAAATACTCACATAACTAGTAATTTTGCAACACTAAATTTATTTTACAATGCACTGTTGTAAAATACAATGAAAATTTAAATTGATGCATTACATTGTGTAAATGTCTAGTTTAATTTACAGATATGCTCGAAGGAAGTTGCTACTAGGTTAGAAATGAATTACTCGTATGATAATTGAGGGTTTCAGACACATGTCAACTGGCATGTAATGTATGTGAACTTGTGTATAACTTACCATTTACATAGATGAAACTTATGTCTAGCATAATTAAGTGCACGTACAAAATTATTGGCTAGCATTAGCATACTACACCTTATACCATCAAATACAGCAGGGGTGCCAAAACTTTTTTGAACCAAGATCTACTTTTGAAGCCAGCAGTTTGACGAGATCTCAGTCTCAGTCCAGTCTCAGAATCACAAAAACGTAATGTTCATCTCCCTACTCCTCACTTCTTTAAATTAAATAAAACAGAACATAATGTGTTGCTTAAGTTTTATTTAATTCAAAGTATTTAAAACAATATTATCTACTTAACCATTAACTTACCTACAAAAAAAGTTAAAATCCTTACATAACTCCTGACAGAGAAACAGAAAATTGGTGCTCAAACAAAAATGATATTTTTTTTACCTTCTTCAGTTAGTACTCACTGTGACGTGCGAGCTACGAGGGCTGGAAACCTGCCCACTGAGAAAACCACAGAGTCAAATAACTTTGGAGCACGGGAACTCGTCTCAGTCTAAGCACAGATCTCTCCTCTCTTCTCTCCATACAGGGGAGGAAAAACAAAACAAAAAACTATCTGGGTCAACATGCTACCACAACAGTGCCGCCCGTTTTTCAAAATCAAAGCACACAATATTAAACTCCCTCGTTTACACTCACTATTTACAAAAAAGTGTCTTACAAAGGTGCAGATTCCCAAATATCCAACAACTAGTTCAAACCTTAATAAAACCAGAATATCAAAACTAGGCAGCTGGCTCTCTGTGCAGCATGCAGGATGGTGTGTCATCTGCAGGTGCTGAAGGGCTCAGCCCCTCACTGGTCCAGACTGCCGGCACTAAAGGGCCATTCAAAGAGTTCCACCTGGTTCACAACCTATCAGACAAGACACACACACACACACACACACACACACACACACACACACACAAACACACACACACAC